CTCCAGTCCCCTCCAGGTCTTTCTATCTCCCCCTTCTTCCATAAGCTTCACTGCACTCTGCCCAAAGTTTGGCTATGATTCTCAGCATCTGCTTCAATATTCTGAGCGTAGAGTCTTTCAGAGGTCCTCTACGGAAGGCTCCTGTCCTGCTCCCTATCTTCTCCTACTTCCGATGTCTATACTGTTTGCCCTTCTGAATGAGGATTGAACATCTTCTCTAGGGTCCTCCTTCTTGTTTAGCTTCTTTAGACATACAGATTTTAGTATGTTTATCCTATATTATATGGCTAATATCCACTTATAAATGAATATATACCATATCTGGCTTTCTGCTTCTGGGTTACCTTGCTCAGGATGATCTTTTCTAGTTCCATCCATTTGCCTGAAAATTTCATGATTTCCTTGTTTTTAATTGCTGAATAGTATTCCCTTCTGTAAATGTACCACAATTTCTGTATCCAATTCTCAGTTGAGGGACATTGAGGTTGTTTCCAGATTTTGGCTCTTACAAATAAAGCTGCTATGAACATAGTTGAGCAAATGTCCTTGTTGAATGGTGGAGCATCTTTAGGGTATATGCCCAGGAATGGTATAGCTGGATCTTGAGGTAGCACTATTGCTAATTTTCTGAGAACGCACCGGATTGGTATTTATTTATTATTTATTTATTTTCATTAATTCATTCATTCCTTTGGCTGTGTGTGTGTGTGTGTGTGTGTGTGTGTGTGTGCGCGCGCGCGCATGCATGCATACTGCCAGGCACGTGTGCTAAGGTCAGAGGATAACGTCTAAGAACTGGTTTCCTTCCTCTACCATGTGAATTACAGGGCTAGAACTCAGGTCCTCAGGTTTGGCGGCAGGTGCCTTTGCCTGCTGAGGCATCTTTGCAGGTCCCAAGCTTTCTGTTTTGTTTCATTCTGCATGTATAAGGCTCAAGTTGACCAAATATAGTTTATGGTTCATTCAAATGTTTCTTTCTGAAGTGAATCATGAAGCTCTAGTGCGAATACTCATTTGGAGTACTGAGGCACGCCAGCAACCCAGAGGGCATCTGTGATAAAGTTTCCAACAGCTAGCTCTCCTTCCCCTTCTGCTGAATTAAGAAGGAGGCAGCCAATTCTCATTTCTGCAATGACGTTAGAATTCTGAACAAGGCTTTGACAACCACTCAGGAAGAATAGTTCAGATGAGGGCCGGTCCATCAGATGCATCACTCCCGACCACGTGAACAGCTCCCTCTGTTTAGATGTGCACCCCTCCCCAGGCTGGAGAGCACGCTGCACTTCTCAGTTCTTTATCTGCTTAACTTATGAGATTGCTGCAAAACGAGAGGGGAAAGGGGCAGGGCGAATTCATTTTCTTCTCTCTTGGCTGAAATACCTGGTAATGAACGGCAGCCAATTTACAGAGGCCACGCATTGTTTTCTCTACCAAATCCAATTACTTTTGAGATCTGAAGAATGAGGCAGAAATGCCGGGCAGTGTTTGTCTTGGGAACTGTGATTCCAAATCAAGTCTTCAGAGGACCGAAACAAAAGCCAAGTCCATTATCAGCTGACTTTGCTTTGGTATATATCTTTTAATACTTAGACAAGATGAAGAAATTCTCAGAAGTGTTTAGCTAATTAAATTAGTGACAGCGGAAACTCAGAATGTGCAGTAAAATTGACTTTTCCTTTTGTGAGAGCAAATGACACCCTTAATCTTGGTAAGGTCCTAATTCCATTATTTATTAGTCATTTTGAAGATTTTTTTGCCCCTCAAATTCCATAAACTGTTTTAGCTCAATAATCCAAACATTAATAGTCTAATCGATCAGCTGCACTGTCCAGCCCTCAGCCTCTCAGTCTAGCTCAGTCCTTCAGTCTCTCAGTCCCTCACTGTCTCAGCCCTTCAGTCCCTCAGTCTCTCAGTCTAGCTCAGTCCCTTAGTGTCTCAGTCTCTCAGTCCCTCAGTCTCTTAGTCTCTCAGCCTTGGGAAGAGCACAGAGAGAAGCACTGTAGGACCAGGACCAGCACCGCCCACGTGGAAGCATATACCTCCATGTGCGAGGCTGTGGCCTCTCGCTCAGCTCCACACACAGAAGCAGCACACTCTACTGTAAACGCTAATAACTACCTTTGTAGTAGGCAGAATCCTGGCACCGCAAAGATGCTGCTGCTGTAAATTCCAAGAATATGCCACCTCACATGGGAAAAGGGCGGCTACAGATGTAACTCAGCTAATGGTTCTAAAGTGGGAGCTTATTCAGGGGGGCCCAGGATAACTTCAAGACTCCTGATGAGACAAAGGAGGAGGTTAGAGGGAGCCAGACAACACAAGACAAGCAGAGGTCAGCGTGAAGGCACCCTTAGCAAGGATGCTTCCCGAAGCCAACAAAGGGAGACTCCCTGAAGAGCAGAGGCCTGGCCAGAGCCTGATGTCAGTCAGTGAACCTGACCTCAAGGCTCTGGCCTCACGTCCAGCATGGAGACAACAAATGTGCGTTGTCTTCAGACACTAAGTGTGTAGCAATATTAGGCTGAAGCAGGAGATGAAACAGCCTCCTCTCACCATACAAGGTAATGATCAGTGAAGCAGCTAGAGAGAAGACATTAGTAAGATGCACACACGTACTCACGAACTCACACGGGTACGCGCACACACACTCATACAGGTACGCGCACACACATACTTCTACATAATAGACCTTATATAAAGGCACCATGTATCTGATACATATCACATCCATGTGTACATGTCACAGATGTGGTATCTATGAATGGTATGTAGCACAACCTACCAGAAATGCGGCTGCTGTTAATATTATATTGACTTTATATCACACTTAAAATTTGTTAAGAAGGCAGAAGCCGTTTAGCTCGAAGCCTGAGCATTTCATAGACCCCACCCATGCCATGCTACTTTATCAGGTGTTGTCAGTGACGGCGTTGACTGTTCGTTCTCTGGTTCTTGACTGAAGAACTCTGTAAACCTCTGAGTTTTCTCCCGTCCTCCCCAACCCCACCCGTCTGTTTTTGATGGAGACTCTGACAATGTTGTCGAGACTAGTCTCTGAGGTCCTGAGGCCAGGAGATCCTTCTTCATCTTTTTAGTGGCTGAGAGTATGGGCGTATCACCACGCTCAGCCTCGATGGCCTGATTCACCTAAGCCGTTGTGAGATCTATGTGCAGGTATGTATGTGTGTATGAATGTACCTGTACACACATCTGAATAGTGAGGCCTAGAATGAATTCAAATGTTGACACACAAGAGATTTCAAATTCCTGGGAGGAAAAAGGGCTACTGTGTTAAGAGTGCTACACTAACCACAACGAAGATGGAAGCCACAGTCCCAACTCCCAACATCCAAGTTTTTTAAAAGCTAAAAACATTAAAATTAGAAGAGAGGCTATTGTTAGAATGTTGGAAAAGAGGTTTTACTTCCCTCTGATAAAAATTAACTTTTTTTTTTTAGACAAAAGGCACATAAATAAGGTTACAAAATGACTCCATTATATACACTAGACAAATGAGGAAGATAAAGGAAGTTACTACAAATCATTTTCATGAATTGGCAGTGGATGTGAATGGGCGATCTGCAACAGAAAAACAGTGATGGCTCATGCTAGAAGTAATCGGGGGAACTCGGATTAAAACAATGAGACATCAACTTTCCATCCATCACGCAGGCATGACGATAAAGGCCTAGATAGTATTAATCACTGGCCAGGATACATGAAAAGAGTTCTTGAGACACAGCCAAGCGTAAATGCAGTTTCTAGTGGCTCCATATCATAACTTCTGCCCTTACTGGGGACAGTCAGTGACAGGCACACAAAGGGACATTCACAAAGAGTGCTTGCGGTACTGGTGTTTATAGTAACAGATCATAAACAATCTGTCTACCCACATGCTCGGAGGAAATAAATCAAGACAAACCCACACTACCCAGTATTTCGGTACTGTCCACAGCCACTCAGAAGGTCTTCCAAGTGCTCTTGGATCAACTCTCTCGGGAGGCTGTGGTTGTGGCTCAGTGGGAGCGCTTGCCCAGCAGGTGTGAGGGAGGGGGTGGATTCTTTGTGAGGAAAAAGAAACTGGGGTGGGGTGGGGTGGGGTAGGGGGAAGAAAGAGAGTAGCAAAAGGCCAACGCTTACAGCAGAGCTGATCATTTTGGCAACGGCAACGAACGATTACTTCACTGATTCACTCTAGAAGGCTGTGCTATCTTCCCAGGATATCCATACTCTCCTTCCTAGTTTCTACCCGTGCAGTTTGCTCTTTGATAGTGAGTCCTCAGCTGCGTGTCAGCAAGGTCACGGAAAGCTCACTGGGCGCAGGAGTGCTTTAACTGTATCCTGTGTCTTGGTCTCCTCAGAGGACAGAGACGTCCCTTTTAAATCTCGGGGAAGTGTACGTTGGGAGAAGGATAGCCGGAAGTTAAACACTGGACCTTCAGTTCTAGGGCATCCATCCTGAGACAAACCATTAGAAACAGCTTCCTGGGGGGTATCTGTGGGGACACTGAGTCTCACTGGACGGATGAAATGACTGCAAGATGTTTTCCAGTCTCACTAACACTTAGATCAGTGATTCTCAACCTGTGGGTCATGACCCCTTTGGGGGTCATGTGGCCCTTTCACACACGCCTAACACCATAGGAAAACACAGATATTTACACTATGATTCACAGCAGTAGCAAAAATTACTACTTATGAAGTACTACTAGTTATGAAGTAGCAATGAAATAATTTTATGGTTGGGGGTCACCGGAAAAGCAGGACCTGTATTAAAGGGCGGCAGCATTAGGAAGGCTGAGCTTCAGGATGTGGAAGTGTAATCACAGGCTGGATGCCTACTTCAGCACACACATACGTGTTTACACACTACGGAAGACCAGAGTCACATGCTTCTGCCAAAAAATGTTTACAGGGAGAAGATGAGAAAAGGCCACAGGCCACCCAGCGCAACCGTCCACACAAAGCCGGGGCCCCTCTCCAGTGCCACAGACTCTCACCTTATTTGGGAATGGGAACTTGCTTGGTTCTGCTTTGCTGGGACCTTGAACAGCAGAAAGGGGAGGAAGCCAGGTCATCTCCTAAGGGTGGAATAAAAACAGTATTTTCAGGCAGCGTATTCAACACGGACAGCATGGAGAGGGCACGATACGGCATGAAAATGACAGCAATAGAGAAAGGCTACAGGGGAATTAAAAACACAGACCAGTGGCTTGTTTTTATCAACTGTTTTCTACAGAGACGGAATCCCAACCCTGCCCCCCCCCCCCCCCCCGCCCAGGAGTTAACATCTTTAAAGAGAAGGTTGTCCTGTTTTCACGCCACACAAAGAGAGGCTGGGGCTGCCACACAGAATTCCCAGGACGTCTCCGAAGACGTGCTTAAGACAGATGAAGTCTTAGTGCTCTTTATTGGATGAACTCTGTGAACTAGTAAAGATAAAAGAAATTCCCAGCAAGTTCTAGATATTGCTGCCGCCTTCATAAGAAACGGGGGGAAATGAGAGAGACCAGCGGCATACATGCAGCGAAGAGAGAAAGGACGTCAGCATTAGGAACATAACCTGAGCTCTGTGTACAGTAACCCGTCACATACTCTTTGAAAGACACTGTTCCCTGAGCTATGGGAGAGGGAGGAGGCTGTATTGTTCATGCTCAGTAGTTTCCTTCAGTTTTGACTCCTAGAAGACAACCGCCATCAATAATTTATTACGGGATTAAACTAACTTCTGATGACCAAGGGAACCAAGGCAGTTTGAAAACAGATTCTGAACCCTGCTTTCTAATTGTCCTGCAATTTCAAGTATGAGCAAACATGAACCATGGTTGATTTTTTCCTTCCTTCCTTCCTTCCTTCCTTCCTTCCTTCCTTCCTTCCTTC